TCCTCAGATCACTCCTGGCACTGGCTATCTCAGGGCAAGTGTCACAAGAAAGAATCTAAGCTGGAAATGTGAGTGCAGAGGGATCTAGGAGAGTTCTGGTGGGAACACACCTGCGAGGGAGTGAGGGGGACAGGACTGGCCAAAGGGAGAAGCTGACCACGACGCAGCTGCAACAGGGCCTCAGCAGAGTCCATGGGGAGTCCTGGAGCCAGACAGGCCATCCGGGCTGCTGCGCTCTGGTACGTCGTTGGATTTGACCATCCCTGGAGCAAGATAACTCCTGTCGGCCAGCAGCAGCAACTCCTGGGAGGGCTTTTGCTGTGAGACCTCAGCAGACAGAGTCCTGGCAGCTGGGCACGAGTGCCTGTGTCCTGGCAGGGCGATCCAGGGTGGTGCATCCACTGCAGCACCTGAAAGCAACCGAGGGAATGCGGGCCGCTCGGGACTCTTGGGCAGGAGGGGACTGGCAGGAAGACAGGCTGAAGAAAGACTCAACCAAGACAGATTAGGCCAGATGGTTAGGGCTTGAATGCCAGGACAAGGACATAAGGCTTTGTTCCTCCTGAAAAGGAGAGCAAAAGTTTTGGGCAAGATTATCTGGGGGTTGTGAGGAGACTGTGCAGCCATGAAGGGATCCTAATTTCCAAAGTGTCCCTTTGGCTGCCTCTCCCGCAGACTCCTTAACTGTCTGGCTTTGGCCAACACACACACACACACACACCCCACTGCCCCCCTCCCCCAAATCGGCTCCCTTCAAATTGTCACTCCCCACAGTGCTGCATTCATGCGTCAGTTCTAAATAGTCCCACTGTTCAGCTTTAACGAGAAGTAATACCAATTCCCATGTTTGCTCAGAGAGCACCATATTTCATCAAACCAGAGCCCATGCCGGCTCAGATTACTGACCGAGACAATGTTCTGTAATCCTGGTTTATTCACATGTCACGGGTATTTTAGCAAAACAGAAATGAATGGCCCGCGCCACCCTAGGAAGTAACGGGAGAGTTGGGTTCCCGCCCAGGGGAAGTCATGCTTTCGCTTGCCACAGTTCTCAGAGGAGCTGACTTTGATTCTCTGAGCTTTTCCCAACTTTAAGAAAGAGAATATGGGCTGAGGAGGAGTCACAAAGTGGGTAGTTATTTCCCTATAAAATGTTAGCTCCACGGATGGTCTTTGCCAGAGCAAAAATAAAATCTGTCATTGATTATAAAGTCCTTTGTGCTTGTTATTTCACAGATTTATTACACTCTGGCCCGGCGGCCTGGGGAGGCCCTGGGATTCTTGTCTCGAGCACCCCACGGCTCATGCCCCAAACGGGAACAGACACTCACTTGCATTTCTTTTGTCTTTGAGGGCCAAGAGCTTTGAATATCTAGATGTGAATCATCCTCCCAATCTTTGGACAGGGACCCACAGACATGGACAATAATAGTTCCTTGGTAGAGGTCTAGGACTTCCTCACCAAGGAAACATGCAAGCCCTATCTGACCTTTTCCTTTTCAGCTCTTGGCGCTGCGTGCAAGAAATGTATTTTCTCCGCAAAGCAAGGAATAGCCAAGGTCGAATCTCTCACCAAATCTCCCAGAGCCTGAGTCCACTTTCAATGTGCTACAACCTCTTTCAAACACACGATAAATAAAGAGCAGTCACAACGATCAATGCAATTTAGTACTATCTCACATCAAAACCTTACAATAATCCTCATAATAGCCTGCTCCTGTCTCCATCTTAGAGTTGAAGAAACCAAGGTCCAGAGAAGGCAAGTCACTTGCTCACGGTCACACAGCTAAGTAGTAGTGAACATAGGGACATGAACCTGCCCCATTTGATTCCACAGAGTCATGTTTGTAAACCCTCTCACTTCCAAGAATGGGTTGACATGAGGCCACAGGCCCAGACGCAGGGCGTGGAGTCAGCCTTCTCATTTAAACAAGAGGCTCCCAGGACTCCAGAGAGGCGATGGGGCTGCCTCAGGGTTACAGAGCTAGTTAGAGTCACAAACTGGCGCTGCCACAAATTAACTGGATAACATCATGAAACAATTGCTTGGGAACATTTCATTTGGTGTTTATTTAGGGAGAGGTTCTTGATGAAACCAAATGAGCTTGCTTTTCAGAACAACCCAGGGTTTGCTTTTCTTCCTTACTCGGGCGTAGAGCTTCATAACTACTAAGGCCCTTCACTCCTTCCTCATGACTTCCTGAAGGAAACCTTGCTACCCCCGAGTGCCAGGCAAAGAGGCCTGGAAGACTGAGGGTCCCCGACCCACCTCTCACCTCTCTGGAGAGGACACTCCCTACCCAAATTGGCAAGTTGAAGACCTTGCACCCCTGGTAATCACAGTGTACTGTACTCCCAGGACCAGGACAATTCTGTAGGAAGCTGTCAGGAACCATAGACCTAAGGACTTGTGCCCACAGTCTGCCATCTCAACCCTTATTTTGAGCTGCGGCCCGAGCTATTAAAAACAAAACATTCTCGTTGGCAAGCTCCACAATTAGCCTCATTTCCACGCTAGAAACACTGTTCTGCATGAGCTGAAATTGCACAGAGATTATTTCTTGTCTTAGCGATGCAGTTTCAAGGGCTGTGCTGGGAGCCAGCGAGGATGTGACCCAGTGGTAATCCGAATTGCTTCACCAAACACATTTTTATCCCATCATCCCGGCTACACGAAAGGGAGCCACAGTGCTCGTGTTCAAGACTTTACAGTCCTGCTGTTCGGCAATAAAATACGGCAAGAAACATTAGCCGTCCCTGGCTGATGCCTTAATTCCTTCCCAACAATGTCAGAGAATCTGTACCCTACAGGTTTTAGTGCCGGCTAAAGGCTGACCCTCAGGCTGGCTTGAATGGAGCGGGAATGAGTTAAGGAGAGCCAGAAGGCTTTAATGGACACGGATCCGAATAGCCCAGCTTGTGTGGGCCTCCTGCGGACTTACCCTCCTTTTCACAGGCCTCGATTGTGTATGGCCCCAGCAGAGACAAAACTACCCATGAGGAGAGGTTACCCCCAGCCGGTGCAGGTCAGAGGCATTCTAGGGGAGAAGGGGAGAGGGGGGCAGAGGGGAAGTAAGGGGCACATGGAGAAGGAGGGAAGTGAGGGGTGGGGGTGGGGGAGGGAGTAGTAAAATATGGTCCGGATCACTTATAAGGAGAGACTCATCAACCCCAGGCTGCAACTTGATCATCTCACCTTTACACAAACCAGTTCTGAAAACCAGTTCACAGAACAAATGGGATCTATACTAATAGGAAGTTGAGTGCAATTAGAGCTAATTTTCAAAATAAATAAAATGCCTCTCTCCGGTTTTCCAAAAGCTACAGGTCTGAGGTTCAGAGGCTTTTAATGGGATGGCCTCTAAATTGACACTGCAAGATTTTGAAAAATTACAAATGGGTTGTGTTTTACACACCAACAGAAGCTTTCTCCAGCAATTTTTCAATTATTGCATTGTGAGCCCTCCAAGAAAAGTAACTATTTTGGCTCACAGAGCCCAAATTTACCAAGTAAAGAGAACACCGTGTTCACAAGTTTGCAAATAGTCCTTTGAAATGCAGCACAGACAGTATTTGGGACTCTTTCTGGAAGACCATGGGTTTGAAGAGGTCCCTTCGTTCCCTTGCAAAGATTCTTAAACTTTTTGGGTGGGCCTGGGACCCCTTTTTCAGTCTGGTAAAGCCTGTGGAACCCTTCTCAAAAGAATGTTTTTAAATGTATAAAATACAATATGCAGGGTTACAAAGGAAGCCAATTACATTAAAATACAGTTATCAAAAATATTTTTAAAAACAACTTTGCAACACAGTAACATATGTTTCTTTTTATTAGTTCATTAACCAACTAGCAACGAGGCCTAACAATCACTATAATTTCAAAGCAGTGATGAGCAAAAATTATACTTTGAAAAATCTGCAACAACTCTCGTGTGATATGAAAATATCTGTGGATGGTGCCCATTGTTGACAAAGTCACTAACATCACTGTGGCTGGTTTCCTGAATTTATATTAGGAAATGCTAAGTTTTAGTAAGAGTTAGTGAAAATAAAGATGTAATTTTCCCCATGAAGTTGACAGAGCGCCTGAATTTAATCCACAGGGAAGAAACCGTGCTAGAGTCAAGACAAAGTTCAGGACCCTCTGCCCCAGGGTTAAGTTGAGGGGGCAGTGGCCAGGGACTCACTACACCCTCACTCCACTGGGAATCCTTCTTGGGAAAGCCACTGCTTTCTCTCTGCCTGCTCTGATGCTTTGGAAATATTTTTAAAAGCAAATTGAAAGCATGTCCTTTTTCTGCAATCCTGAAGGCTACATGTCGAAAGATTAATAAGGACCTTTGATGTGCTTCTTCAATCATTGTTGCCAAATAAAGGGTCAGTTAATCAGCTAATTCTGAATTTAATCAGGATCTTGTTCCAGTTGCCTTGGGTTGACCGAGCTTTGGGGCGAGGACTTTCTTTTCACAGCCTGCTCAGGGAAGGTCCGTGTTCACCGCACGCTTGCATTTTGGACACACACTGACTCAGAGGCAACTGGGCTCACACACATCCCCTCTCAGGTCCTCGCTGGGGAGCTGTCATCTTGCAACCACATAGCCATCACATGCCATTGCAGGGGCAACCCAGCAGGCAGGCCCCCTCCAACCGCAGCCCAGCCCCCTTGCACCCCAGCCAGGCTGCGGCGCCACACAGGAGCCAGCCGCGGGGCTGGGGCTCGGGCTCTAGGCAGGGGATCGGAGCGGGGAGCGCGCTCGCCCACGCCCACGCCCCCCACACTCGCGGGCGCACACTCGGGCGCACACCCCGGCGCGCGCACGCCGCCACACTCGGGCGCACGCACACCGCAGCCGGGCCAGGACGGCCCTGTCGGCGGCAGCCCGGAGCGGCCGGGCGCGCAGCGGGTACCTCCGAGGGCGCCGCCGGCCGCCCCGCCCCGCCCCGCCCCTCGAGCCCGCGGGCCGGGCGCGCAGTGGGCTGCAAAGTTTCGCGGCGCGAGTCCGCCGAGGCAGCGCGTCGGCTCGGGCTCGGCTCGGCTCTGCGCGGCTCCGGACGGCCGCGACCGCTGGCCCGGGGCTCCGGCGGCCCGGACTGCCCGACCGACCGCGCGCCCGCCGCCCGCCCCGCTGCGCCCCTCGCCCCGCACGGAGCCCGGTACCCAGCGCCCCGCGCCCCAGCTCCCCGGGCTCCCCGCGCGCTCTCCCGCCGCGGGGTCGGCCCGCAGCCTCCGGTGCGCCCGCGCTCTCCCTCCTCCTCCCGGGCTCCTGCCCTTCGCCGCCCTCGCCCCGCCATGGCTCGTGGCCCCGCTCGGACCAGCCCGGCACCGGGGCCTCCACTGCTGCTGCTGCCGCTGCTTCTGCTGCTGCTCCGGGACGCGGGTGGCAGCCACACAGCCCCTGCCTGGTCCGCACAGTCCGCGGCCGCCGACGGCCTCCCGGGGGACAAGCACCCCCCGAGAGCCCTGGGGGACGCGGCCGCCACGCTGGGCCCTGGCGCCCAGGACATGGTCGCTGTCCACATGCTCAGGCTCTATGAGAAGTACAGCCGGCGGGGCGCGCGGCCGGGAGGGGGCAACACGGTCCGCAGCTTCCGGGCCCGGCTGGGTAAGTAGAGGTGCCCGGAGGACCCCCTCTCCTTGTTCTCCGCCTTCCTCACTTGGCCGTCCTCCCCACCCTGAACCTCTGCATTCCCTGTTCCTTCTATTCCTCCCGTCGCTCTTTCTTTCACTAACAATCCCCTCAGCTCTCTATGCCAGGCCCTGAAGCTCCAGTGGGGACACCAAAGTGGCCCAGCGTGGCACAGTGTTCCTGCCCCTGGGGCGCTCCCACACTCGCTGGTCACAGACTACCCAATACCCCATACAAAAGGGTTAAGCACAGGGTGGAGAGGGGACATGGCCTGGGGGAATACCTGTGTCATAGGGTCAATTGCAATGGCACTTGGCAGAAGAGGACAGTACGGTCAGGTAGACCTAAGGCTGCCCTGGTGGCAGTGCCAGGCGGTGGGCCCAAGCAGGAAGCATGAAGCTCCAGCTGGGGGCAGTTAGTGGTTTCCGTGGCAGGGAACAGAGTGGACTGAGAAGGCCGTGGGGTGCCTGGGACTGAGGACTTTCAGGCAGAGGCATGAAGTGCTCAGACCACAGGGCTCTGAGGAAGGGCCCAGAAGCCTGGACAATGAGAGCACCCCACCGCTCTCCTGTCCTTGTCCTGCCTTCCCGTTTTTCCTGATCCTTGGCTGGAGTTGCGCAGAGGCCCTCCCTGCCCTGTCCCGAGAACCTTCCAGGCTCCAGCCTCAGCAGCCTGTCCGCCTTTGCAGCCTTTGCAGGCCCTGGGCAGACAGAGAGGAGGTGCAGCCGGGGCGGCAGGGGTGGTGAGAAGACCCTGGTTGTCATAGTGACTACTCCTGCTGGCAGAATGCTGTTCCAGAAAATGTGGGTGGGGGTCCCCTGCAGCCCTGTGGGGGATGAGGCCATTCATCAGGAGAAAAACCCTTCGTCTGCAGGCTTCCCTCCTTGAGGGGAGGGGGGCAAACCCAACTTTGGGGCCAGACAGCCTGGGGTCAGATTTGTCGCTTGCTGCTCCCTGGCTGTGTCACTTGAGGTAACATCTGTGGCCTCAGAGCCAGGAATGGGAAACAGCCTCCCATAGCTGTGGACTGGGGAGCACCTGCCACGAAGAGGCCCGTCCCCTTATCCTCCACTGAGCAGACTCACTGGGTCAGTGTCCCTGGGCTCCAGGCCAATCGGGTCTAACTCCATCCCCCGGTACCTTTTATTCACCAGCTGGGGTCCATTTCTGGAGCAACATTATTAAATTAAGCCACTTAAGAATCATCTGGCATTAATATGACCTTCTGTAAATCCCTAAAGCTATGTGGTCTTGAGTGCATTCATCTATAAAATGGACAAGGCATGCCAGTTCCTCCCTGCAGGGTGGCAGGAAAGGTGAAATGAGGTAATATGTGTAAACTTGGAACCCAGTGCTGGCCAGATTAGGTGTTGGTGCATGTTATTCTCCTGGGAGTACAAAGCAATGTGCTAAGTACTCTGTGCTCTCATGTGTGTTTAAACTTGACCTTGCTTGTCCATTAACTCAAACTTGAATCCTTACAATTGAGGAAGCAAGGCCAGAACACACCCTTCGAGCCCACCCACGCACTGCAGCTGGGCATGGAGGTGCATTTTCACAGAATGAGTAGTACAAGTAATAGTGGAGCACAGGGCATTAGCCCCCAAAGGGACCTGGAGACAGGACCTCAATCCAGCACTCCCATTTTACAGACAAGGAAACTGAGGTGGGGAGGTATTGTTCACAGTGGCAATGGTTGGCACCTCTTGTCTGCCCAGCCATTGCTGTTCTCACTGCCACCGCTACCCCTCACCGTCTCCATCAGAACTAAGCCCAGGTCTGGAAGGCGGAGTGTCGAACAGACAAATCTGGAAAATCAGAATTCTGGTACAGTCTGGAGCTGTCTGACAAATCCCTCTTCTTTGGAACCCTGAGGCAAACTTGGGCATGAATCCCAGCGTCACTAGCTGCCGGCTGGGTGCAGTGGCATAGTTACTTTACCTCTCTGAGCTTCAGTTTCCTTGTGTGCACAGTGAGGAGGTGGGCATTCAATGGGGTAACGTACGTTTCGTGCCTGGTATAGAGTGTGCGCCCGGGCACATTGGCTTTTCATTCCCCCGCTTGATTCATTTAAGCTGTTTCATACCCAGCCCCTTGCCAGCCCTCAGATGTGCCTGCTTCCTGATCCGTCTGTGAGGAGGTCTGAGCTTGGGCACGGACCCTCAGCTCATGGATGAAGCCACCAATGTGGGAGGCTTCAGCTGTGGTCCTGGAACACACCAGCAGCAGCCTGCTCCACGATGGTGGCTCTCTGCTGCCTCAGTGGGGTAGCACCTCTTCCCAAACAACAAGCGCATGCATCGCTGCCACCCTTGGCACAGTAACTGTGTTACTCGCCTGCCACCAAGCAGTGTAGCTCAGCTGGCAAGTGTGGCTGTGAGCTGGATTGGCAAGTTCCAAATCCCAATTCTGTGATCTGGGCAAGGGACTAAACTTGTCCATGACTCAATTTTTTTCACTTCTAAAATGGGGCAATTAATGCTGCCTTCCTTGTAGGAGTTTTTTAAATGGGAACTGAGATATGTCAAGTGCTTAAACCATTCCTGGCACATGTGAGTGTCAACAGTTCATTAGCTCTTGCTATAATTACACCAGCCACCTCTTTCCTCTCTCCCCTCCTTGCTCCCTGAAGTGCACTTTGCTCCCTATTAAGTCTGCATCAGCAGAGAGCACCTTTGAGCTTGACCCGAAGGGTTAAGGTTGGACCACCCCCCACTCCCACTGAATGACCTGTGTTTAAATCTAAGCTCCACTACCTACCAGTGTGACACACTGAGCTTGTTTTTTCACCTCTAAAATGAGAGTAGTGCTACATACCCATTTGTCAAGAATGCCAAAAGTCAAGTTCCTCAGTTCCCCAATATTTCCTAAGCCCCTGGTTTGGTGGCCGGTGCTATAAGCTCGGAGGACACAAAGATGCATAGAGTATTGGCCCTTCCCAGAGAAGCTTCGGAGCCGGCAGGGCAGGTGGAAGTAAGCAGGAGAGTAGGGCAGTGGTCCTGGTGTTTCGGGGGAGGAGGAAGGCAGGGGCGGGGTCTACAGGAGGGGCCCAGGAAGCCTTGGCAGAGCAGCTAGGGCCCGGCCCACTTCGAAGGGCAGGTGGCGTTTAGCCAGGTTAGAAGTGAAGCAGTGCGCTGTGTGCCGGGACTGCGAGGAGTTTGGTTTAAATGAGGAAGTAGTGTGAGGATAGAGAGGCAGGAGGTGGAGCTGGACAGGTCATGTGTGCATGGAGGGGTGGGGGGAGAGAGAAGAGAGGGAGGCAGGGGAGAAGGAGAAAAGGAGGAGAGAGAGGAGACGGGGATATATATGTATTTCCAATGTTTTTACCCTCATGGGATCATATTGTCAACACGCAGGTGAAACACGCAGGTATTCCCATTTGAAATTACCTTTGTTCATTGCTGATTGTCTGAACCATGTCCCACGCCTGTTGGCCACCTGTAGTTTTTCCTGTGGAAACTGCTTCCTCCTATTGGGGTCCTTGTCTTTTTCCTGCTGATCTGCAGAGGCTCTTTCCATAGAAGGGGTCAAGGTAAAGAACCTCCACCGCTAATACATGATTTGCTTTCGAGGCACGTGCGTGACGTAAGCGTGACAGAATTCTCAGACCACTGGTGTGGTTGAGGCCAGGCCCTGAAGGTGGGGATGGGGTGGGGCTGGGGACGCTGAGTTCAGGGTGGTTGTGGGGACACAGGACACAGAGCCAACAGGGCCTGGAGATTGGTTAGAAGCAGGAGGGAAGGGAGAGGAAGAGGGAAGGGAGCTCTCAGGCTCCAGCTGGAGGGTATCAGGCCTCCCACTGAGAAAGAGTTGGGGGCTGGGTAAAGGTGCAGTGCCCTGAGGGTGGCTGTAGCTCCTGAGGCCACCTGCAAGGGGCCAGCAGCTGTGAGCTCCTGCTGGGTGCCAGGCACTGTGCTGAGTGAGCTCTGCATAGCTGATCTCACAACTACTTTAGGTGGTTCCTACAACTACTCTGCCTAATTTAGGTGAGGAAACTGAGGCACAGAGCAGTTCCAGGACTTGCCTGAGGCCCTATAGCTAGTAAGCGGTGCAAACAGGAGTTAAACCCCATCCCTGAAGCCTGCGTGGAAGCAGACGCCCAGCACCTGCTAGTCGCCTGCCTTTCTCCGCAGCACCGCTGGCCAGTGACGCTCTTCCTTCCTGCGGCTGCTGGTGGTGCCTCATCTCCACTCTGCCCTCACTCGGCACTCGCACTCTGGCCAACCCGATGGCGGTTTCAGGGGCAATGGATGAGGGGACAAACCTCCAGGTGACTTGCATTCTGCGTCTGTGTGAGGGGCTACTCTTGGCCCGAGGGTTTGCCAGCAGGGCCTCCCCAGTGCCACCTCCCCTGCCCTAGGAAGAAGGCTGAGTGCCCAGCACGGTGGTCCTGGTCACGGTTCTGAGAATTCCCAAGATCCACAGAGAGATCAACTTGCCTAAATTAAGTCAGTTTTTCCTTCTTAGAGAGTCAGAGCTCAAAAACATCCCGATAACGACTTGGGTCTGACACGCATGCGGCAGTACACAGCGTGTGATCCTTGTCCATTCGCTCTCCGGCAGGTCATGGTCGTATCCAGAGCACATGGGGCGGGGGCCAAACAGTGTGGGCTGGGGTCACACACCTGGCTCTGCTCCTGGCTCTGCCCCTTGCCAGCTGTGTGACCGTGGACAAGCTATATACCCTCTCTGAATCTCCAGCTCTTCACCCACAGAATGAGTGACCCAAGAACACTCAGCGCAGGGCCAAGCACGTACGCTTGGTGCTCAGAACACTGTAACTAGTTCTGTTCCGAGAAACAATATTATTCCTATTTAAAAATGAAAAAACCAAGGCTCCAGGGGAAGTCAGTGGCCAACGATCCGGCCACCCAGTGTCTTCAGTTGGATTTGCATCGCCAGCTGTTTCTTTCCAAAGAATGAGGCTTTCTGGACTTCTTAAGGGTGTGGTTGTTGTGCTCCAGGACAGAGGGCCAGGAACCCCCCTGTGTTAACTGAAGCAACAGACCCCACTCTTCCCCTGTCCCTGCTTCGGCAGGTTTACAACAAGAGCCCGTCATTCAACGTGTATCTCTGAGCGCCAGCTGTCACCCAGGCCTTGCGTAGGGTCTAGGGATGCGGCAGGGAACAAAACACAGCCCTGTCCTCTTGGGGTTTATGCTCTGGGGGAAAATGAGCCATAAACAAATCAGTCTACACCAGGATGGCAGGAGGTGCCACGAGGACAAATGCAGCAGGGGCCAAGTGCTGGGGCTGCTCCTCCAGCCACGACAGCCAGACGACCCGTTTGTGCAGACACCTGACGGAGGGCCTGGCGGTACCTGGAGGGGGAGCCTTGTGAAGGCAGACAGAGCAGTGAGGCTGAGCCCTGAGACAGACGCCACGCAGGAAAAGGACATGAAGGCCAGTGTGACAAGGCAGAGGCATCGGGGAGGGGGTAAGAGATGAAGCTGGAGAGGTGGGCAGGCCAGACCAAGGAGGGCCTTGGCAAGGGGTAGAGTTTGATTTGGGGGCAGTAGAGGGCTCTGAGCCAGAGGTGAACCATGGTTGAACGCACCCCACACACCAGGGGCCTCACTCGGACGGCGCTCTGTAAAACTGTGCCATGAGGGGACACTGCCTGGCACCAGTGCCCGGCTGCCTCTCCACTGGGCAGAGCTCCACCAGGGCACCTTCCACCCCCTTTGCCATGACCCCGGTGAGCCCAACACTTAGCCCTGAGTAGGACTTTTGCAAATGTTTCTTGGGAAAAGGGAGAAAGGGAAGGAAGGAAGGAAAAGAGGGCGGTAGGAAGGGGGAAGGGGAAGAAAGAGAGAAGAAAGGGAGGGAGGGAGAGAGGAGAGGGGTGAAAGCTCCCTCATGAGACACCAGCCACCGGGCACCAGCACACTTCATGGGAAACAGGGACTTCTTTATGGGGCTTCTCTTTCGTGGCCTGGGCTCTTCTAAACGGAGAGACTTCAGGTTGACGCCCTTTCTCTCAGCCACGGCCTGGAGCCCCTGCACTGTGTGTGCAGCCACGTCCAGACAGGCCAGCCTCGGCTCCTTGTGTGCTGGGGTTGGGGGTGACCCATCTCCACCTACCCAGTTCCCAGCAGGAAGGGTCTTCCCAGAGCAGGCTGCCCCGGGAGGGAGTGAGCGCCTCTGGCCAGAGGCATTCGAGCCGCAGTGAGGTAGGCCGGCTTTTGTATGTCCTCTAAGGTTCCACCCCACTCAGAATCTATTAGCAGAACAAGCGAGGAGGCAAGACTGGAACTAGATAAAAGAAAAATGTGTCCGCCATGTTGGCTGGGTCACAGTTCAGCTATTTGGCTGGGTGCGTGGAAAGCGCCTGAGTCGGTATAGGAGGAGCTTGCTCTGCTGGCTGAGTCCTTTAGATGCAAGTGGCAGGGAAGCACATTTGGGGGCACCTCCTTTGCGCCTGGCACTTTACATATGCCATTTATCCTCCAGACAATCGTGTGAGATGGAGTCGGTTGTCCCTGTGAGGTAGATGAGGAAAGCAAGGCTCAGAGCATGGTGTGGTCCCACTGGGGCCTGGGAGCTCCATTCCTAGGGCGTTTTCTAGCTTGGGGGCCGGTGAGTGTTGCATCGTTGGTGAACTTTCTACCCGCAGGTCAACCCTGGATGCTACAGGTACGCAGCCACGGCCACCTGAGTGAGCTGCCAACTGCTGGGGCTTCCCAAACTTCCCTGATGGCTAGAATCCCAGGGGGTGCTCGTTAAAATGTGGGACTCAAGGTCATGCACCCAAGGCCACAGTGTTTGGGGAAGCCAAGTTTAAATGTGCACCGAGACCCTGCACTGCTTCTTCTTATGTGTGGGGCATGTGAGGGGCTGCGACACTGTCCTGGTGGGTTTGTTGCTAGGATCAGATAAGGTAATGTCTTCAGAGTGTCACCCAAGCCTTAACTGGCATTTATTTCTCAGGTCCTGCACAGACATGCTTCTCTCTCTTCCTTCTTCCTTCTCATAGTCCCTTAAGAGTCTGTGAAAATCCCCAGTTGAATTATGCCTTCTTCCCGAAAGAAACAAAGAATATTAGACTGAAGGTTTGGGTTAAAAAAATTGCAGCTGATAATGTGGATACAGGTGTCAGAGAGGTATGACCCCAACCCATGCCCCTTGGAGAGCCTAGTGCCCCCACAAGTCCTGTGGGCTTGGGACCTCTGTTCCTCTCTGGGCTTTGCCCAGCAGAGGGAGGGAAGAAGCCGACCCCCAGTGGCTCTGGTCTCTTGCTGGTGTGCAGCATCCCAGGGAGGCACCAGGAAAGGCCCTCCTCTCCTCCTAATCCTAGAGAGGACTTGGCAATTTTTGAGCGAGCTCATGCTGCTGCCAGGGCTGGGGCAGCTTCCTGGCACTGCAGAGGAGGCTGTGCTGCCCTGGGGCCCTTAGAGATCACCGAGTGGAACCAGGCAACAAGGAAGGAGTGGTCAGCAGCTCTGGGGAAGCAGGGGCTGGCGCATTCTCATGCCAAAAGCCAAGCTGCAGAAGTGAGGGTTGGGTCGAGGTGTCCTGTTCCTTACTGTGGTTCAGGCCTCTGGAGAGCAACCTGCACCTTGGACATTTTGTCCAGTGACCTTGTGCAGTCCCGACATTGCTCTTTCTTTGTCAGACAATCTTAAAGCCCTTGGACAGAACAAAGAGCAGGACACGGAGCAAAGATGCCCAAATGGCTGTACTCTGAACCCCAGTGTCCCTTAGAAGGTGCTCAGAATGCAGTAAGAAAAGGATGAGGGTCAACTCATTTTGCCTCATTTGGAAGAATGGTCACATTTGATGTAGATTGCATTTAAAAACTCACTGCATAAAATAGAGGGCTGTGCAAATACAGGAGAGGCTGCCTTGACATGGGGCTTGGACCCAACCCAAACCGTCCTGAGCACTTAGGGAGGTGTCAGTGACATTTGCTCATCGGAGGCAGTAGAGTGCAGCAAACAGGGGCTTTAGGGTCCAGCAGGCCTGAGCGCCCACCCTGTCGGCTACTTTTTCTTTTCTTCTCCCCTTCCTCTTCCCCTCCCCTTTCATTTTTTGCAATGAGATATTGGCAGTTCCCAACCTCTCTGACCCCAAGTCCTTAGCTGTTCATCGAGGATTGCAAAGGGCGCCCTCATCGGTTTAATAGGAGGATTGCAGCGGATGGGGAAAGCGAAGGCGGGAGGCGCCTGGAGTGCTTGGTCAGGGGGCGTTGCTCCCTCTCCTGGGAGGTGCAGGAGACCCCGCGAGCACGGGGACCGTCCAGGGGAGAACCTAACGGGCTGTGGTCTGTCCTTCCCTCGCAGAAGTGGTCGACCAGAAGGCCGTGTATTTCTTCAACCTGACGTCCATGCAGGACTCGGAAATGATCCTCACCGCCACCTTCCACTTCTACTCGGAGCCGCCGAGGTGGCCCCGAGCGCGGGAAGGGCCGTGCAAGCCGCGGGCCAAGAACGCTTCGTGCCGCCCGCCGCCCCCCGGGCCGCCGGCTCGCCAGCACCTGCTCTTCCGCAGCCTGTCGCAGAACACGGCCACGCAGGGGCTGCTCCGCGGGGCCATGGCCCTGGCGCCGCCGCCGCGCGCCCTGTGGCAGGCCAAGGACATCTCCCCCATCGTCAAGGCGGCGCGCCGGGACGGCGAGCTGCTCCTCTCCGCCCAGCTGGACTCCGGGGAGAAGGACCCGGGGGTGCCCAGATCCGGCCCCCACGCGCCCTACATCCTCGTCTACGCCAACGACCTGGCCATCGCGGAGCCCAACAGCGTGGCGGTGACGCTGCAGAGATACGACCCCTTCCCGGCTGGAGAGCCCGAGCCGCGCGCAGCCCCCAACAGCTCGGCAGACCCCCGCGTGCGCCGGGCCGCGCAGGCCGCCGGGCCGCTCCAGGACAACGAGCTGCCGGGGCTGGACGAGAGGCCGGCGCGCGCGCCCCACGCGCAGCACTACCACAAGCACGAGCTGTGGCCCAGCCCCTTCCGGGCCCTGAAGCCCCGGCCCGGCCGTAAGGACCGCAGGAGGAAGGGCCAGGACGTGTTCGTGGCCTCCTCGCAGGTGCTGCGCTTCGACGAGAAGACGATGCAGAAAGCCAGGAGGAAGCAGTGGGACGAGCCGAGGGTGTGCTCCCGCAGGTACCTGAAGGTGGACTTCGCGGACATCGGCTGGAACGAGTGGATCATCTCGCCCAAATCCTTCGACGCCTACTACTGCGCGGGCGCCTGCGAGTTCCCCATGCCCAAGGTAGGGTGCGCGTGGGTGTGCGCCAGACGCACCGCCGTGCTCTGCCTGTTGTCGGACTCCCAGCTCTGCTGCTGTTGGCGAGTCCCTCTGCCTGTGGCACCTGTGTCCTCACCTGCAAAATGGGGATAACAACACCTCCCATCCGTCCCCGGCACAGCACAGGGGCCAAGTGGCTCCTTGGGTAGATAATGCCCACAGAGGTGTTGGGTTTGGCTGTGCTTTTTGTTTCCGCCTCTTTAAACGTGCATTCGCACACAGCGTGACCACTCCGCAGAGTTGAATGGATGCTGCTCCTGTGCACAGGGCTGGTCCCAGAAGCCGCATCCTGACCAAGGCTCTCATTTCTGTTCCTGGCCTGGCCCCAGGGCATGGGTGCCTGTGACCAGCATGGTGCTAGCCTAGGTGGCTTTCCCAGCGTGGGCTTCCTCCTCCCTCCAACTCAGGGCAGGAACCCACGGGGCAACTACCGGGCTCTCACTGCGCACAGCAGCCTGCAAGGCACACAGCACTGGACCGTTTTATCCATTGTGCTGGCCCGGAGCTTTCAGATTCTCCCCTTCCCTCCAGGCAGGGCTGTGCCACGTCCATCCCTCTCCCTGGGGCCTGCACTCCAGTGGGCTGGCTCCCCAAGATGTCGACCCTCGGCACCCAGGGCACAGTTTTCCTCCTGCTTAGTTACTCTGCTGAATCCCGGTGATGCCTTCCCCTTCAAGAAAGGAAGCCAGTGCACAAACCCAATTTGAACGTATAAATCAGCCCACTGGGAAAGTCCAGACCCAGACGTGGAGCTGCATTAACCTGTTTGGGAGTTAAGGGGTTTCTCCGCAAAGCTGCACGTGTGCAGGAGAGAGGCAGGGCGGTGCCTGACAGAGACAGAGTCTGCTGAGGCCCCCCCCCGAGCCTGGGCCAATGCAGTGCCAGGACTCGCAGGCTTGCGGCTGGCCGACCTGGCACTCACCCTATCAGCCCGGCTGGCTGCCTCCCCACCTTCTAGGACGCCAGCCAGAACCCCACAAGCGCAAGTGTCCCTGCCCTTCTCTCCTCCCTGCCTCCCAGCACACAAGGGCTTCCTCATCGACTGTACCACACTGAACACTCTCCGTCTGGCTGGCGATGAGCTGAAGCGGTTCATCTTGTCAGAGGTGGGCATGGTTTCTGAGCCAAGCCACTTTCTAACTGAGGGTCTTGGTCAAGTTGCTTAGTCATTTTAAGCCTCGGTGTCTTCACCAGTAAAACGTAGATAATATCCACCCCATAAAGCTGGCAAGATGACAGCGTGGGCTGATGCAGGGAAAGTAGCGCGGGGGGAATGTCAGTTCCCAGCCATCACACCGGCCCCTTCAGTGACAAGAATACCATCACACGGGAAGAATTCCTGACTCCTCAGACTGCAGGCAGCCCTGGCTGGGCCCCTCCCTCGGCTCTCTCTGCACAGTTTCTGCCCTGTTCCTGGTGCTCCTTGGGGATGTGTGGCACTCAAGCGCCCCCAAGTGGCCAGTGCTGTGTAGGGGATGTGACGTCCCTCAGGGAGGCCAGAAGGGCGGGAAGGCCTAGGGGCTCTTGCAGCCCTCAGCCTGGGGCTCCGTGTGTGGCTGATTGCAGAGGAAGCATGTGCCCAGCCTGGATCTCGCATTCATTCTAGGTCGGCGCCTTTTCCGTGGTCTCGGTCAGGGAACTGCAGGGGTGCAGCATGGCCTGGGGCTGGGAGGACAGCACCGGTGGGTGGGTGAGGGCAGAGCGCTGAGGTGACCCTGCTCCTTTCCTGCCTTGCAGGTTGTCCGCCCATCCAACCATGCCACCATCCAGAGTATTGTCAGGGCTGTGGGCATCGTCCCTGGAATCCCAGAGCCTTGCTGTGTCCCTGACAAGATGAACTCCCTAGGGGTCCTTTTCCTGGATGAGAACCGGAACGTGGTTCTGAAGGTGTACCCCAACATGTCCGTGGAGACCTGTGCCTGCCGGTAAGACAGCTCCAGGGTGGAAGGAAGCCTCTGCCCCCACCCCCAGCAGAGCCGTGTTCTCAGGACGCTGTGGAACCAGGACACGACGAGGGCTGCAGCTGCAGACACAGGGCTCTAGAGAGTACAGGCAGTGCCGCTGGGCCCAGGAAGGTCTGCCCACTGGAGCATCGTTCTGGGGTCTTTCAGGAGTCTGGGAATTAGCCCTGGCCTGAAGGTTGCCCGTCGTTCGTACCCACAATACCCACCGTCCTCAAGGCCTGAAAACAGAACGCGTCCAGTGTTGGCCAGATGCGATCATCATCTCATACTCGAGGAAGAAGGCTATGCAAATCTCAGGGCCCGCTCCCCTTTCGCATGGGAAGAACCTCTGTTTAATGCTCAGTTTAAACACTTCGGGCCACATAGTCACCCTGGAAGAATAGTGGTATAAATGGGTGTTCTCTTCCAAACTCCACTGCAAAAGCTTTATACATACAGTATGCACATGTAACCAATGTCGGTTTCTTTTTCTTAACATATGTTTTATCTTAAAATAACAACAAAAAAGGAGGGAGTTGCCACGACTCCCCACAGAGGTGATCAAGCTGAGTAACTGTGGGTGTTTGGATGTGCATATTGAAATAACACATACCGTAATATGTTGGAATACTAAAAAGTAACCAAGATTTTATATTTTTGTAAATTATACTTTCTATACTGTAGATTGTGTACGTTATGTGTTTTTATGGAAAGCTAATAAATTAAAGGTACAGTGGTATCATGAAAAACTGAATGTCACCCACTCCAAAATATCACTCACTCCCCATCTGTAAGTATAGCACCTGGATGGCTGCTGGGGACGCCTTTAGGGTCCTTGGAGGACACCTCCCTCTTGACCAACTCCATATTCTCTGCGTGTTTCTCAAGCTCCAAAAAACTAAAGGCTCCTGTGCTTTCCAGGGTCCTGCCCCACCCACCCTTTCCTGCAAATCCCCAACCCGGGCTGGTGTCCCAGACTGGAAAGGGCCCCAGGCAGGCACAGTGGCCTCCTGGAGTTCCCCCACATCCCTGGCCTCCGGGCCATCCATCGATTGGGCGGTGTCTGAGACATTTAAAGCGTTGTCTACGGCTGCCCGGTCAGAGGTCTTTTACTTGGGGTAGTTCGAGCAGGAGGAGATTCAATATAAGCAGTCAGGGGTCTCTCCTGAGGGACTGGATGATCTACAGGGTCTCCCGCATCTGCTTGTCCTGTGTAGAAAGGTCCCCAAATAGCTGACCCCCACCCATGGCTTCCTTATTCCCATAGAGTTAGTGCCTGAGCTGATTGACCGGAATTTCCAAAAGGAATCTGGGTCCAATGTGAGGCAGGTGTATCACAGTCGCATCAGCAGGACCTGAGGATGACACGGCCCAAGTGTTAGAGGGGACTGCAAAGCCACCAGCGGTTCTCTAACAGGGTGTCCGAGAAGAGAAGCAGCCACGGCGTCTGTCTTGGGCTTTGGGCTGGCTCAGAGACCAGGGGTCCTGTGCAAGGTACGTGTGAGGAAGTGCTCCCAGGAGACTCGGGCCAGGAGCCCAGCATCCCAGCCTGGTCGGGATCCCGTGGGGAGTGCTGGAGCTTAAAGCGCCCCTCAGAGAGAGTTCCTTGACCCCTGCATGGGCAGCCTCTGAAGAAGGCTGCAGTGGCAGAGCCTGGAGGCCAAGCCACTGGAACTGGAGAAACTGCCCCAGAGCCAGAGGTAAGAGGGATCCGAGTGCACCTGGGGGGCATCAGCGTCTGCTCAGCATCTCGGAGGTGCTCCAAGTGGTCCTGGGACACATGAGCGGCTGCCTTGGGGACCCCGGCCTGCTGACAGAGATCGGGTGAGGGGCGGAAGTCCCTGGCACACGTGGCCTTGTTCTCTCACTCCTGCAGAATCTGACCTGGGACCGGATGGTTCCGTGAGCTGCTGTAGATGCTGAGCTGGCTCAGCCCGGCCTGCACATTTAGTGCTCGGTTTGCCATGGCTAATTCTTTTTGGAACATGACGGGATATAAATCAATAGCAAAGCGGGTGAAAATACTGGGGCTCGAGAAAACGCCAGCTCTCTTTCTTCCCAATAGTAGACTCCTCATTCCCCCCATCCCATCTAATTTTTTCCTCATCAAACTGCTCGCTTTTCATTTTCAGCCAAGATAGGGTGTCTTATAATAGTTTTATCTTATTCTTCTGGCATTTGCCAATTCTGGGAGACCTTCTGGGTCCCCCAACACCTGGAATGCCTCTGAGTCCTCTTTCCTGGCTTACTGGGAAGTGGCGGGGAGACAGGCTGGGAGCCTGTGCCCTGGGCCAGCACTGGGAGGGACGGCACTCCGTGGTTGCCATCTTTCCTGAGCACGCCCTGGTGACTGTGGGGTATGGCATGGGTCAGGTGGGTGACGTGTGTCCCAGTCCTATGGTGAGAGGAGCTAGTGTCATCAGTGATCCTTCCAATTTATAGAACACCATGTAGTTATGGCATCTCATTTACCCTGACAGCAGCCTGACAACTTACTGCCCAATTCGTGCTGCAGAAAAACAGGCTGAGGAAGGGTAAGTAGCACGTCCACTAGTAACGCGTCCACTAATGTCTTACCGAGACCACGGGCAACGTCAGGTTGGTGCCCAAGCTGCCTGATTCAAGGCCTACGTGGACAGCACTGCCCCTGAACTTCCTGGCTAGTGACCCCACTACCAGCATATTAGGCGTGTCCCAATGGCACTGAGTGCCCTCACAGTAAAGTGAGGCTTAAAAATAAATGTGTATATAACTTTTTTCTCCCCTTAAAACCAAAATATCAACATTACATTGTCACATTGCCAGAAGGTTCCAGCACACAGCCTGGATGTGCATGAGTTGCTGAGGTCACTCACCTGGCTGCGGGTCAGTCTGGAGGGAGCAGGGTGGTGGCCTGCAGCAGGCCCCCATCCCTGAACTTGTACGTCCTCTAGAAGGGCAGAGCCTCTTATAGGTTAGTTCATGTGACAAATACCGGCAGTACACCTGAGGGCTAGAAACTTTAAGGCTAGGAGAAAACTTTGGGAAGCTTCTGATTCAACGTTTCTACTTGAGAAGTGGGGAAACTGAGTCCTGGCACTACCTAGTGTCTTGCCTGAGGCGTCCCAATAGGTACCTCTTTATGTCTAAGTCACTCATAAAATGTCATCAGAGCCATAGCCTATAACTAATGCTTCTTCCGTGGCCAGGACGGAGACAGCTGTGTCAGAGAAACTGACAAATGTCTAGGGCTGTCGGGCGGTGAGGTGGGGGCTCCAGAGGAAGAGGAATGGACATGACTCCGGAAAGGCTGACTTTGAGGTCAGCCAGGGAGGAAGAGCTGGGCTTGGCTGGTGGAATAAGGACATTGCAAGGAGAGTTTGGTGGCAGCACATGCCAAGGAGGGCTGAGACCGGGAGGGCAGACCAGCTTGCCAACTCTGGCTGTGACTTGTGCACCAAAGCATCGATGGTAGAGTTCAAGGCTATTTCCCTTTACCAAAACCTGGAAGCGTAAGATCCTTCACAGATAGACTGATGATTCTGAGATTTCCATTCCCTTCTCCCTCTACTCCCCGAGAGAGCCAGCTCATGCAAGCTTGGCTCCTCTACCCGGCCCGTAGTCCTAACCTTGCTCCTCCAATCTCTCCCAGGAGTCTTGTCTGTGTGAGTCAGCGGTAGGTGGGTGAGCAGGAGAATGAATATGTTTATTTATTCAATTACTTAGTATTTACTATGTGCCAAATACCATGCTAGGCAATATATTCATACTTTATCTCTCGAAAGACACATATGATTTCCCTTTTTTTGTCGGAACCAGTGTGCAAACCTGAATGTGCATCAGAAACAACTGGAGACTTGGCATAGGCTGGGCCCCACCCAAGGGTTGTTTCCAATCCAGGCTGAGACTTTGTATTTCTAACCAGTTCCCAGCTTCTGCTGCTGCTACTGGCTCAGGTACCATACTTTGAGAACAGGTGTCCTCAGAGCAATGTCCCCTGTGATGGAAGGGACCCCCTGAGGCAGCTGTGTCACAGAAACTCAGGTAGGTCCTTGCTCACCTCCACGAAGGAAGACTGAAGTCCATGTTGCTGCTTTGGAGCGATGAGCTGCAAGGATCTTTGGAATAAATGGATGAGTCAAATCCTCCTGTCTTGTTCATTAGATTGTGCTTCTCCCATAGCAATTGCATGTGATGATTTGATTTCTATAATTCACAAGTCCTGGGAGGGATGACACTACAGAGGCTTTGGTTAAAAATCAGCAGTAACGCCAAACCATCTGGGCATTGAGAAAAGACAGGGAGCACAAGGCTAAGCTGGCAGCCGCCAGGGCAGCCGCACACCGCACAGAGCACTCCTAGGTGCTCAAGGATGTATGCAGAGCTGCGCCCGGGAGGCCTGACCCGGAGGAGCGTCGACCTGCTGTGAAGGCAGGACCGACTTGCTGGGCACGTCAAATTGCAGAGGATGTGACATGAGAGGACAGCAGAGGAGCAGTCCTGGGGCCCTTAGAGTGGATGAATCCACCAGAGTGGTGTTGCTCAGAACACAGAGGCTGCTGGTGAAGGGCAGTCAGGACCGGCCCAGGTGGAGGACAGCAGGAAGGAGCAGAAGGCATTCCTAAGGGAGAGCAGAGCCCACGCAGGGGCTCTGCAGGAGGTGGGGGCAGAGCTGGCCCAGAGGTGGGGCAAAGGGAAGCAGTGACAGAAAGATCAGGCGTGGTACTGCCAGTAGCAGGAACGGTGATTACTTATTGAGCGCTTACATGCAACATGTTCCTGTGGAACACCAGCATCTGTGGAGCCCGCTGTCCCTCTCCCTAGACCGACAGCTCGGTAACAAATACGATTCCTGAGCACGGGCCCAGACCAGCACAGGTGAGATCCAGCCACCGCTGCACCTCCTCAGTGGCTGAAGTCCAGATCCTGTGGTGCGGCTCGTCAAAACCTGGAGGGGAATATAGTCCAGCCCAACTAGCAATGCAACTGGCCTTTTGTCGTTGCTGTCCATTAACATACCAAAGATTAGAAGAACCAGTGGTGAGGAGACACATGTCCTTAGGCTCAGCTAACGGGAGTGAATATTGAAAAAGCATTTCTGGAAAGCAGCTTAGCAATGCTTAGCAAGAGATTTGTAAACATTTACATATACTTTGACCTAGATATTCCACTTCTGATGACCTAAGAATATGAAATAGACTGTAATAACATGCAATAATGCCTTGCAACATTTTCTTAATAACTAATTGTCCTACAGTTGGAGGATGTTTGAATAAATTAGGATATGTTCATATGATTGGATAGTGCTTAGTCATTACGAATGAAGTTTATGAAAAGTTTTTCATGATATGGGGAGATATTCACACAATCCTCTAGTGGCATTTCCTACTAGTGCCCAGACCTAGACCCCTCTGGGGACCATCCCAAACTGACTCTCCCTGTGCTGCCAGTGACGTCACTCCCACTCCAGGAGCCCAAGCCAATCAGGGCATTGCATTCTCCTGGCTGCAGTGATTGGCTGGGGTGTGAGCAGATGATCCAATCAGGGCCATGGAGGCACCGAGAGCTCTCTGGGACTTCCTGGAGAAGAGGCTTTTGCTCCTCCCGCCCCATGTGGAAGGGGAACAGACCTGCCCGGGCCGCCTTGCCACGACACAGAGAGACGGAGCTGAAGCCAACACAGCAGAGGGGCAGGACTGAGAGGGGAGAAGTCGTCACTGGGACTGTGCCTGTCCTCTCTGTATCAAGCCACACTAAAGCCAGACTGTCGCTGAACTTCTCAGTGTCACTGGTCAGCCGTAATCTGTTTTGCTTAAGCCTGTTTGGGGTCTGCTTTTCTGAAACTTTCGACTAAATGACACAATTTTTAAGAAGAAAAGCAAACCTGTATGTACCAAAAAGAAAAATAAACCTGTATCTACCACGCCTGTGCTGTACACCAAACCATGTATACCAAGTGACTTCAAAAGTAAATAAATCTAGGACAGAGATCACAGACACTTCAGTCTAGATTATCATAAATGTTATTCCAGCCTTCACTTTGTCTAGGCATAGACACGTAAAACTACCATAATTCAGATCTTTGGTCTTTGAATGATCATGTGGATGGAACTTCCTTGGAGACAGTAAATGAAGAGTTAAGTTTTTTGAGGAGGGGGCAAAGGAGGGGTAAATAAGATCTTCTGTGGCTCAACCAGGGAAGCCCCTTCCTGAGGCCCTAGCAATGCAAGGGAACAGGAGAGGGAGGGTCCTTTTGCATGAGGGAACATCGAGAGTCCTTTTCTCCCTGGGAGAGACAGAACAAGACTCAAACCTTATTCCCTGAAACCCAGAGTTAGGGGGACCTGTTCATAGGGACCAAAGCCCATTTGTACCAAAAGGTAAGAAGGACCCTGAAATCACCACCTGTGGAAAGTAGGCATCTCGGCTGGTGACCCATGCTCCCATAAGAACTCAGAGATTTGTGAGAGAGGACAGGTTGGGATTGGAGTGTGGCCACGGCTGGCCTCTTCTCTCAACCCCTCCACCCACAGAGCCATGCCTTCTGGAGAACAGTAAGCTGGTACCTTGGTGCCCCATGGGAGACACCACAGAGACTTGGATTAGCCAAGGGATCCCGACAGCTACAGACAAGCTGCTATTGGATGGGTAGGAACTGTCCCCTGCAGCCATGCCAGTGTCGCTGAGAAGCAACAGCAGGTAGCACATTGTAGGAACCGTCTCTCCTTTCCCTTCACAGCATTAAGAAGCTGGATTGATACTATCCCACCCCGATCTCTTTTGGACTAAATAACCCCATGGGACACTTGGACAATTCTGTAAAAGGGAAAACTAGACTTCCGGATAAGATGGATCAGGAAGCCTCAAGCAACTAATTAGAAACAAGACAAGAGATGTGACCATATTGATATCCCGAGTTTGCGGGGCAGATAATCCAGAAGAACATAGGCATGTTGCATTGCTTAGCTCCGAGGAGCTGCCCACATCAGAGGCTGTATGACAGGCACCTGCAGGCAGTGTGCACGCACAGCCTCCACAGCCGGATGTGGCGACCCTGTATATAAACGGGTCCACGGTCCTTTACCTGAGATCCCCAAAACCAAAGCTATCTGAAAACCTGAAATTTCTTTTAACTCTTTTTGTGGCAAAACTTGACATGAATGGATATTTGTGTCTTTATCTGTTTTGCTGCAAAAATATTAACATGTGTCATTTTAGGGTGTTGTCTCCAAGCCTTTTGGGGATATTATAGTATATGCACCATACCAAATTCCCCAAATCTGGAACTTTCTGAATCCCAAAACACCGTGATCACAGGGGTTTCAGATAGAGGATTTGGAAACCGTACGTGTCTCAAAATGTTAACACTGGGCATTGCTAGATGATGAGGTTGTGGGTTATTTTTATATTCTTCTTTATGTTTTGCATTTCCCAAATTTTCTACCTTATATACTACTGTTATAACTGGAAAAAAAGTCACATTTTAAAAATAGCGTCAGACAGCACAGCAGCCCCTTGCACCTCCCTGAGCACATCCAGGCCACCGTGCCATCCACCCGCTCAGCTTGAGTGTGAAAGGCTCCTGGGCGGCCCCCAGGCCAGAGCACACTGGGGTGCCCGCCTTGTTCTCAGCTCCTCCTGGCCCACACCGCACTCTGCAGCTGCAGCTCCATCTCCTGGGCTTGGCACCCGTTTGCGTGTCTGTTCCCTGCCCCATGGGATTCCTGCACTGGGCTGGCTCACAGCCCAGCACACTTCCTGCCCACCCCCAGCCGCCCAGGCAGCATTTCTGAAGCAGCACCCTTCCCATCCTCCCCTGGCCGTGCCTCCAAAGGGTGCAAACAGCAAGTTCTGTCTGGGCCTGGCCACTCGGGGGCTCCTGGTTTCACCCTTCCCCGTCCGCATCTCCCTGGACCTGCTCAGTGCTTTGCCGCCTCTTCCAGGGAGCCCTGCCAGTGTGGAGCAATGTTGTGCTCAAATCTCCCCCAGAGCAGACCACCCTGTACACCTCCCTAGTGTTTTTAACTGTGCTGGTTCTTTGCTTTGGTCAAAGCCACACGTGATGGAAATTGGCAGAGTCTAAGTGTGGGCACGCTACTCTTAAAATAACACAGTCCCTGGGGCCTCCCGCCCCCCTACCTGGGCTGCAGCTTGCCCGTCCCTACCTCTCCAGGCCAGGGGGCCATCTCCTGGGCAGGCACCAGTCTCAGAGCTTCCTGCCTACTCCTCTGTCCCCCCAGATCACACGGTTCTCCTGGCTAACGAGCGTGGCCCAGGCGGCTGCTCGCAGATGTCAGCCGAGACCTCCCTCCAGACCAGTGACAAAGCCAAGATTTGAGGGCCCTGCAGGCCGAAGGGTGTTGTCTCCTGCAGAGCAGGCTGAGGAGGCCAGAGCTTCAGCCCCCGGCTCCATCTCAGTCGGACCTGGGGTGGAGAAGGGGTGGCCCGAACGCAGCCACCCGGCTGGCCAGGGTGCTTCCATGATGTTCCATTCCAGCACACCATTCTCTGAACTCCTCATACCGCTCTTCTGAACGGGAGGCTCGAAGAGCTGAGGTGACTTGCTCCAGGTCACACACGTGGTAGTCAGTGAGGGTGCTGGGTCCACACCCTTGGGTGCAGCCCGCGAGCCACACTGGCATGTTCCAGTTCCCCAAGGAGCAGCCTCTTGTGAGCCCCAGGGTGGTGCCAACCCCACGTCCATCCCCGGCCCCACGGTTTGTCGGGGCCTCCTGGGTGTTCTGCATTGTCGTTGCTATATTTGGAGGACTTTCTGGTCTGATTTCCTGGATTCTTTGTTCCCGTGGCCCAGGAGATGGAGCCTCTGTCACCCACCCTGGAGATTCCTCTGATCAGCGCTGGCAAGGAAACGAGAACGGATCCTAATTAGGGGGCGATAACCCCTCGGAGAAACGCGGATTCTTTACAGTAGGCCATGTCCTTCCCACAAGCCCTGCGTGTTTGTCAGATGTTTATAGAGCCTTCATTAACAGAGAGCTTCCTCCGATAAGAGGTCAGAGCGCTGCATCGAGGGCCAGATAAGAACAAGTGGAGGACAGTCCAGTCCGGGACAGAGCACGGGCGTGCTGGCCACGGCTTCCTGCAGAGCGGACGGCAGGGCGATGCGGGCCCACTGCTCCCGCGCCCCTCCCCGTGCCCGCTAACACGTCGAGGCCGCCCGCAGTCTCCTCTCCCCTCTCTGGGGCGAGAGCGACAGCCCGAGATGTGCCCCAGGGCGCTGTGGGCGGCTCTGCCCGTGCTGTCCCTGCTGGCCTGCTGCCTGCAGGGGAAGCCGCTGCAGAACTGGGGGCAGGCGTCTGCCGGGGGGAAAGGCCACAGCCTGCTGGGGGGGCCCGGAGGGAAGCCGCCCGAGCACACCTTCGACCTGAAGATGTTCCTGGAGAACATGAAGGTGGACTTCCTGCGCAGCCTCAACCTGAGCGGGGTCCCCTCCCAGGACAAAACCAGAGTGGAGCCGCCGCAGTACATGATCGACCTGTACAACAGGTACACCACCGACAAGTCGACCACCCCAGCGTCCAACGTCGTGCGGAGCTTCAGCGTGGAAGGTAGAGCCCGCCTGCGCGGGGTGCCCCGGGGTGGGACTCACAGGGCCACAGCTGCACTGCCCATGTGGTGGCCCCGGCCACAGGAGGCTCTTCGAGTTTCCGTTTAAGTGAATTACGGTGAAATAAAATTAACGTAGTTCTGTATTTCCACCGCTTCAAGTGTGCACCCGTCGTGTGTGGCTAATGGCTTCGCCACAGGGCAGTGCTGGTTATAGAACATTCCGTCGTCCCTGAGAGTTCTACGTGGCAGTCTGCTCTGCGGGGTGCTTCTTCCCTGGCCGTGTGCCACACCTAACGCGGGAGCCGCCGGGAGACAGCGCCTTTTCTTCCATCCCTTCCCCACCCCCCTTGTTTGTCCTTCCCTCCCTCCCCCTGCCCCTCCTGGCGCCTTCCTACTTGGACAACTTATTTAGCTCCCAACCGGTATATTTTTAAACTTTGAAAGAATGTCTATTTCTCTCTTATGAAAGCGTTTTTAAAAAATTGATAAAATATTTTGAGAGCGAACCTAAATATTTTTTAGAATAGAAATGTCCCTGATTTAGGAGAACTAGAAGAGAACAGGGCCTGTGTCCACCAACTCATTCAACTTCACATGACGCAGGTGAAATGAGTTTCAGTGACACAGAGCTTGCAGCCTCTGAGGGCACCTGTTCAATGTCGAGTGGCTGGATTCCAACCCAGGCCTGCCTGTCTGCGTGGCGCCCCCGTCCTGCTGCTGCAGTCTCCCCTTGAACGGTCAGGAGCACAGGGCCTCTCCCCTCCTGGGTCTGAGACCTGCAAACGCCAAAGGGGCTCAGTGCCACAGCCAGGCCAGACCTGCCTGGCTTGCAGAGCGTGTGTCCCTCTAAAGGACTGTGGTCACGATTCATGCCACAGTGCTGGATTTTCTGATAGTCCAAAGGAAGAAGAAAAGTCTAGATTTTATGTGAATTTACCTGATTTTTAAAACCCTGGCTTCGTTTCTTAAAAAATGCAATCTGCAAGTCACTAGGCACATAGGGCACAGCTGTGTGACCTCCACCTTAGGAGAAGCCTGGGCTTCTTTCGCCAGAGCCAAATTACCAAGTCCCACAGGCCTGGGAATACACACACACTCCCAGAGCAGTGTGCACGTCCCCGGAAACTGATCCCACCCCGGCGTTCCTGTGGTTGCCAGTTCTGCTTCCCTTCCCAGATGGTCCGAGGGCGGCTCAGGGAGGGAGGGTGCCAGTGCTTGTTTTCTAGATGTCTGACTGCAGCCCCACAGCCATTTTTAAAGCATGCCACGGTGAGAGCACATCAGGTCACGAAGGCACGGCGCGTACTGCTCAGACGTGCCAGGGAAGCTCAGCTCGTCCTGCAGGAGCTAGGAAGGTGCACCCGTGCTGGGTGAGGGGAACACAGAGCCGAGCAGTCATGTGCTTTGTTGTATGCAGGCGGCGTGCCCAGCTCGGGAGGAGGGTCTGGGGGATGGGACATAGTAATAGTGATTATCTGCTATAAGCCAGAGACTGTGTCCGGTTAAGCTCCCTGTGTCACCTTGTCCAAGCCTCCCTCCAACTCTGGGAGGGAGGGAGGATAAACCCCATTTTACAGATGAGCAAACTGAGGCACAGGGACACTCAGGACTTTCCAAGGTAACAGGCCTAGTGAGGCACAGAGTCAGGACTGGCACTTCATTCTCCCAACTCTAGGGAATAATTGCACTTCAGTCTGCCAGACAGCAAAACCTGCTGGCCGGGTTTCAGGGCAGCGCGGGCTCTCCATTCCTGTCGGCACATGGTAGGAGCTCGAAAAACACCAGCCACGGTAGAGTACAAACATGCTGATGGCCAAGTGTCAGCCCAGGGGAAGTGGGAAATTGAGACACTTATGTGGCTAAAAGGCAAGCCCAGTTTTCCTTGACAGGACAAAGCAGTCGAAGCTAATATATTTTTTCCTCAAAAAAAAAATCTACTTTCACTTTGCTTGAGAGTTACGATTCTAAATGATTTCAGCATGTTCTGAAATTTTTATCATTGTCTTAATATCGGACCTTCGTGATCCCCTCCCGGGATCTCTCCTTTGAATTCACACACTCGGGATCTCCACTCTCAGGCTGACAGTGCATTTCGATGCTTCCTTTATGTGAGGGTACTTCCTAGCTGCATGCACTGTGGCATTTAAATGCCCTGAATCCCAATCTCCATATCTATAAAAGTGGCATAATCATTAGACCCTTCTGGGATGAGTGTGAGGACTACAGTGAAATATATTATGCAAAGCTCCTAGTGTAACTCCTGGCACGTAGTAAATGCTCAATAAATAGCAGGAACTGTCAACTTCAATTGGAGGCATCTCCTGCCTCTACTTCTCTTGAGAAGATCCTAGATGTCCTATTCAAAATACTTAAAGGCTTAAATGGACAAAATAGAGATAATAGAGACAAAAGTGTCATCTCAGATGCCCTTTCACCCAAACCATGAACTTCGGTGTCGTGAAAACGGGCCGAATGGCAGATGCCCATCCATGTGTTTGCCTTCCAGATGCCATCTCCATAGCCACCACGGGAGACTTCCCCTTCCAGAGGCACATCCTGCTTTTCAACATCTCCGTTCCCAGACACGAGCAAATCACCAGGGCCGAGCTCCGACTCTACGTCTCCTGTCAAAATCACGTGGACTCCTCCCATGCGCTGAAAGGAAACATGGTCATTTACGACGTTCTGGATGGAGCAGATGCCCGGGACAGTGCTGCGGGGACCAAGACCCTGCTGGTGTCCCAGGATATCCGGGACCAGGGCTGGGAGACCTTGGAAGTGTCCAGCGCTGTGAAGCGATGGGTCCGGGCTGACTCCAGCAAGAGCAAAAACAAGCTGGAGGTGACAGTGGAGAGCCACCGGAAGGGCTGCGACAAGCTGGACATCAGCGTCCCCCCAGGGTCCAAAAACCTGCCCTTCTTCGTCGTCTTCTCCAATGACCGCAGCAACGGGACCAAGGAGACCAGGCTGGAGCTCAGGGAGATGATCGGCCACGAGCAGGAGAGCGTGCTCAAGAAGCTGTCCAGGGATGGCCCCGCGGAGGCAGCGGAGAGCAGGGAGGACGTGGAGGGCCACACGGCCGCGGGGTCGTCTTTAGCCCGACGGAAGAGGAGCACCGGCGCCGGCAGCCACTGTCAGAAGACCTCCCTGCGAGTGAACTTCGAGGACATTGGCTGGGACAGCTGGATCATCGCGCCCAAGGAGTACGACGCCTATGAGTGTAAAGGTGGCTGCTTCTTCCCTCTGGCTGACGACGTGACGCCAACGAAACATGCCATCGTGCAGACCCTGGTGCATCTCAAGTTCCCCACAAAGGTGGGCAAGGCCTGCTGCGTGCCCACCAAACTGAGCCCCATCTCCATACTCTACAAGGATGACATGGGGGTGCCCACCCTCAAGTACCACTACGAGGGCATGAGCGTGGCAGAGTGTGGGTGCAGGTAGTACCTGCCGGCGGGGCAGGGGAGGCCGGTGGGAGGGGTCCTGAGAGGTCCTTCTTCCCCCTGGGCACCACAGGGACTGAGTCGATCTGCCTGCCAGCCTGGGGGAGGAAGCGCAGCCTGCAGGGTGCAGGTGGTACCTGCCCGCCCCAAGCAATGCCCCCGGGCTCGACTGCTGGGAAGGCGATGGCCAGGGTGTGGGGGTTTCCAGGAAAGCCTGGAAGTGTTGTTGGGGTGGAAGGGGAGGTGACAAAAAGGAGACAGGAAGGGAACTAATTCAGAGTCCGCAGAAAACTGAGCAGAAGTGAGCCGGAGGAGCGTGGACGGCGGGTGAGGGGCGCAGGTTTCTGGGAGTCACCGGGTCGTGGAGGACGGGCTGAATACAGGACCCTCAGGCAGTGAGGGGAGAGGAGCCGGCCACGCGCTCTGCAGCCCCCATTTCATGCACCTGCCTGACCCGGTGAGGTGGGCGCAATGGCCTCCAAGTTACAGAGGCAGAAACCCAAACGCAGGCAGGTCAAGCAGTGCCAGTCAGTGGCACGTTCCAGCCCATGTCTGCGGGAGACCAAAGCCCGGGACCTTCCCGAGTGCCACACTGCAGTTTAGCAGGTCTCCCTGTAGCCAAAAAGCAGCGAGGCGTTGGCAGCCCGGGAGCGCTGAGGCCAGACTGTGCTGAGCCCTGATCAGTCCCCACCAACGTGACTGGGCTGTTGTCACGTCCAGCGCGTGGTCTGACCACTCGGTGCCTGTGCTCACTCAGTGGCCAAATGCTTTTTAATGTCACCCCTGAGTCACTGAAACCCCCCCCCAAAAGCAACTGCAGGGTGGAGAGCAGCAGTCCTCTGGGCCACGTCCCACACTGTGGCCAGAGCGGCTGTGACCCACTCGTACGGCCAGCAGTTCTCACAGGGCCACTTGCTGTCCGCACACGCGATTCGCGCTGAGGGATGGGGCGGCCACGGCAGCACCTCTGCACTTACTCACCCAGCTCAGCAGCACAAGACACCCGTGGATGCCCCCCCACAAGGACCCCACAGGAGACAGGACCTGGATTTGAACTGGTTGGAATTAAATGTGCTCTTGCTTTGGTATTTGAAATGTCCCTATTTTTACTCCTTGGTGACATGTGCTCAAGTGGTAAGACGTCCGGCCTTCCTGAGTGAGGCTCCCCAGCCTCTGAAGAACTCCTTATGCAGCCACCAGCCCCGCTGCGCTCGCCGCTCTCTTGAGCGATGTGCGCCCCGGCCCCACCCTGTGCCTGGGCCTGGGACCAGCCCCACCCCCGCTGACCCCAAGGGAGGACAGTTTCCATTTCCTCTGTGCTTCCCCCGTCCTCTGCTTCTCCTGGCCACGCACGGGGGGTAGTGTGAGGAAAAGCCTGAAAGTGGCAAAGATTCTGCCCCCTGGCCAGAGCGGGGCCCAGAGGGGGCTTAGAGGGGGCTTAGAGGGACCAGGCCATTCCCACTGGCTGAAGCTCCCATATATTTAAAAAAACAAAGTTTGTGTTAAATGTTTACATGAAACCAATGAACAACTTTAACACAAAAGTACAATGAGACATTATTTTTTAATTACTGGAAGTATAGAAAATATGAATTTCTGGTACCTGCTAGGCAGCGTGGTCGAACAGTGCTGTTCACAGTTGGGTGACGGACATCTTGCAGTCCTGGTGGTGTATTTCTGTGCCTGCATGAAAGTTCTGCTTAGCAATAAAGCCAATGTCTGATGTGCAGCTTTGTCCTGAATATGACACCTGAAACTCAAAGCCCTCCAGGCCCACCCGCTGCCCACCCCTCCTTCCAGGCCCCACTGGGATGGGCTGTGCCCTTCCCTAAGGAGGCAGGCGAGGGACGAGCAGCTGCCCCAGGGCCGGATGGACACAGGCGGGTGGGCAGTGTCTGCACACTGTGGTGAGGGGACAGGCTCCTACATGGGCTTCCGGGGGGTGTGGCTGTGTGTCAGATGTTTGCAAGTCCCCGACCACCGTTACTGCCCTGCGTTCTCTACGCTGCCCTGTGACAGGGGAGGGAGGCCCCACTGTCCATGAGCAGCACAGACGGCCTAAAGCCCCCTCCTCCCAGGTCCCACGGCTGGGCCGCTCTTCCAGCCGCAGCCTCACTGTGCTCCCGCTCCAGCCAAACCACCGCAGAGGCCGCCCTGTTCTCGCCCTCAGGGGACGCGCTCCCGGGGCCCCGCCCTTCGCGGGCACTGCTTCTCCTGCCCTGCTCATCCATCCAGAGTCTCTGCTCAGCCAGTGCCTGCTGTGCACTTCTCACTCGAGGAGAAGGGGACGTTCTGTCCAAGGGTCGCCACGCGTTGTTGCTGGACTTCTCTCAGCATTCCGCCGGATGGACGAAGGGAGGGATTCCTGGTCGCTACTTACAGCCTTCTGTCGTCCAGCCTGGCGCAGTTCCCACGTGAGCCTGACCGGTGCAGGTGGGAGCAGGGCTCCCCGCCCCGCCGGCCGCGGAGCGCTCCCTTCCCGTGCGGGCGCCAAGGCTCAGCTCGGCTCCTGCACCCAGGTCGTCTGACCAGCTCTGTCCGGACGGCGGCTCCTCTCCAGAGCTGTCCTTAGACTTCTGCGCTGCCTGCCCGGGCCTCTGTCTCTGGGCCCCCGACACAGGCCCGTTTGGACCCGGAAGGCTTCTATACCATCCTGTCTGGTGGTCCCCACAGCGGCCCCCAGGGAGGTGGTGTTCGCCCCTTTAGGATGAGGAGGCTCAGATAGAGTTCAGGGCATGCGGCAGGGAGCCTGGGGCCAGCCCCTCTGTGGTGTGCTCCCTCCCCGAAGGTCTTGCAGCAGGCCCGGGCTTTAGCGGCCACAAAGCAAAGAGCCTCAAGGAGAGGCCGGTAGGGCTGCGCTGGCCTGTTGCCTCCATGCAGTCTCGGCTGTGCAGCCCGGGAGCCACACAGGCCAATGCTCTGCTGTCACTGTCGTGAAATGTGTAATAATTTTCAACCAGGCACCCACACTTTCCTTCCGCTCTCCGCCTTGCCAATGACATGGCTGATTCTGAATGCATGGCCGGTGTCTTGGTTTCCCAAGTCCCAGCGACACTCAGGAGGCTGTGTCCTGGGGAGACGGGAGTCTGAGCTTGGCTGCTGGGAGCTGACCCCAGGGCCTGACAGCCCCGCCACCTCCTCTGGTGCACGCTGCGGAAGCCCAGAGGCTTCTCTGCTTTGTGAACCAAAGGCAGCGAAACTGCTCACCCCGGAAAGGCCAGCCTGGTACAGCCGTGTGGCAGCTTCTTAGGCAGGGGTCAGAGATGCTGCCACTCTTTCTCCGGCCTTCTCCAAGCAAGCCACGTCTCTAAGGACAGTACTAAGGAGACTGGACCCAAGGCAGGCCACACCTTAAGCCAGCAGTGGACACAGATGGCTTATGCTGGGTCAGGTAGAACAAACCATCCTGAACTTCTTTTCATTTTCAAATCACAGAATCTGAGCTTTGGGAAAGAGCACCTGCTCCCGGCAGGAATCTGCACACCGGTGGCCTCAGCTTCCCTTGAGCCTGGGCCAAAGTCAGAGTCTGTCCCCCACAGCACCCCTTCCATGAGCTTCTATTCTGATGTGACCGTCCCCGTGAGCCTACGAGTCTTCTCCATGGAGGGCGTGGAGGGCCCTCGGCTACGGGAGACATGGGTCACTTCTGCCTCAAAGTGATAAAAATAAGGGCAATGAAATACTGTTCATAAAAGCCAAGTGCAGTTTCAAGGGTGTTCAAATATCTCCCCCTTTTTATGAAATAATAGAGAGGTAGGTAATAGGTTTGTTGTTTTTTATAATGTCCATAATTGGCAAAATAAAATCCTGACAACCCTGCATTGATCCTCAAAATGATTTTTGAACCATTATAGGTTTATGAAATCCCGCAGCCCCGTCTCCTCCTAGCTTTGGCCCCCACTCCACAGGAGCCCTAGTGCCACCAAATCCAGGAAGGGAACAGCTGGCCCAGCACCCACCAGGGCCATCAGCCTCCAGGCCAAGCTGCAGCCCCTGGCCTCCAGGGTCTGGCCAGACCACCCAGCCCCACACTGAGCCTCAAGCCTCTTTTCTGGTCCTCCTCCTCCCTGCTTCGCAAACCCTTGGCTTGCTGTCTACACCAGCATCCACCGCCTGCCCGCTACAGACCTATGCACGATGCCCGTTTGCTCAGTCCTCTCTGACCTTGGCCCTCACTTTCCAGTACAAATGTGGGATGTGTCCTATGTCTCCCCACATGGCCAGGGGTGTCCTGCCTCCTGCCCTCCTGCCCAGTCCACAGGGCCTGTACCAGCACCACCTGCCCACCTGATTCTCTGCCAGGGAGGGACGCAGATGGGGCCTGCTGTGTCCAGAATGCCAGGGCAAGCATCCCAATCAATTAGATGCCAAAACCAGGGCCAGCCCCAGAAACAACAGGCATACAGGCAACTTGGGGAGAAACACAGGCCTAGAAGTGCCAAGGCATCACCCCCAGAAGGGCCTGGGTCCCCAGCCTGGCATCTCTGAGGCTCAGGACTCAGGTCTGTGTTAGTCAGCTGCAGTGTCAAAATGACCGAAAATCACATACGTGTCCACTACCTTCCTCCTTCCCCACTTTTGCAGGGATGAAGAGCCCTGAGCCCTGCCTGGGCTGCCGTACTCTAATCTGGGGAGTGGAGGAGTTAAGAAAGTAGGAGGAGCTGAGAAAGGCTGGTTGATTTCCACCGCACAGGACAAGAGCTGCATCCCGCAGAAAGAACAGATCGGCAGTGGGCAGGGTGGAGAGAGCAGAGGGTGGAAAGGAGCTGGGGCCAAGAGGGAGGGCAGGGGGGCCAGGAGGGTGGATGGGAGAACAGAGGAACAGGCGCCGGAACGCCACTGTGGGTGGGATGCCCCCGCTCTCCCAGGCTTGCCCCGCAGTGCACAGGACACCTCAATGGAGCCCAGAGGAATGCAGACCCGAGCCACGCAGGTCTAGTCCCCTACCTGGTGCACCCTGAGCCTTCATAAAAGACAGCTGTTACTGCTACTAACCAGGGAATACAGATCAGATCAACAAGAAGTTTCTGTCACACAGCTTTCTGATGCTCATGTGCTTTGATAGAGGAATCTTGACTCTGAGTCTCTATCCTAAAAGATATAAATTAGATATGCAAATATTTCATATATTAATTTTAATTTAATTAAATTTTAAAATAAATTCAATTTTAATTTCATGTTTAATATAATTTGGTGTTCACTGAACATTGCTTTGCTCTTCCTACATAAAAACAGGAGACTCTCTAAAATGACCAACAATAAGAGAATAATTTAATGAACTGTGGTTAGTTCCCTTCTTCTTTCATCCTGGACCTGATTCAGGATGGGACTAGAGGGCGATCTGAGTG